CTGCAAACTCTGAGAGAATGCCTGTCAAGACAGAGGAGTATAAGAAGTTGACTACCAGTTAGCTATCCACCACACTACATGAGTTCTGTGGTACCAATGAACAAACCATTCATAAATGAATCCACAAAGATCTCTGAGGCAATGACCAGGCTCTGGTCTACTTACTACTTGTCTTCAGGTCAAGAGTTTCCTTTTACTTACAAAGAAACTGCAGACACTTCCATGGGCAGAGAACTGTCCAACCAATAACCATGAAATCCTTGGGAAGGATACAGCCTCCTGTCTAAAGGCACAGGAAATGAATGTAGGCACACCAAAGAGAAGATGCAAGTCTTCAGTCTGAAATTCTAAACTCTTTAGTGAATCATTTTGCTTTTTGCACACAGTTTCAGGATGAAGATAGTTCAAAATATTTTGAACTTTCAGCTTTTCGGCTAGAAGATGGCTAAGGTGCATCTTTCTTAAGTTGTCCCGAATCCGGACTCATTCGCTCCACCATGGTGCCACCTCAACCACACCGCCCAAGTTCAACTCAAATGAGATCAAAGTCATGCACCTGAGGTGCACCAGTGGCAAAGTCAGTGGCACATCTGCCCTAGCCCCCAAGATTGGCCCCTGGGTCTGCCTCCAAAAATGTGGGTGATAACATGGAGGAGGCAACTGGTGACTGGAAGCATCTGAGGATTACAGTGAAACTGATCATTCAGAACAGACATTCCTAGGTTGAGGCGGTGCCTTCTGCCTCTGTGCTGTGTCAAATCCCTCAAGGGGCCGCTAAGAGACAGAAAGAAACAGAAAAACATTAAACACAGTGGAAATAGCACTTTTGATGAGACTGTCAACTTCTCAACTTTTGAAGATCCTTCTGGAACCATTAAAAAAGTCCTAGGGACCACTCAGTCTGTGGGTTGCAATGTGGACAGCCAGCACCCTAATGACATCATAGATGACATTAACAGTGGTGCTGTGGAGTGTCCAGCTAGCTAAGAAGCACAAGAAAATATTTCAATAAAAAGATGATGTGGGGGCCGGGGAGATGGCTCAGTGGAATAAGCACTTCCCTGGCAAGTGCAAGGGCCTGAGTTCAATCCCTGGTTCCGCAAAAAAAACAAAACAAACAAACAAAAAAAAAGACCCACTATAATAAGATGATGTAATTGGGGTTAGGGAGATAGCTTGGTGGTCTAAGCACCTCCTGGCAAGCACAAGGACCCGGGTTCGATCCCTGGTGCTGCATGCCATCTGGCCCTTAACCATGGGTATGCTGTGCTGGCTCCCAAACCAGGCATGGTGGTGCATACCTGTAATCCCAGCGCTGGGGTGGCTGAGACGGGAGAACCACTGCAAGTCTGAGCTGTGTAGCGAGATCCTGTAACAAATACATAAAATATTTAAAGAATTATAAAAAAAGATGATTTGACACTAGGCGTGGCAGCATGCACCTGTAATCCCAGCTCTTGGGAGGCTGTAAACAGTCGGATCACTAAGAGTCTGATCTAGTAGTGAGACCCTGAACACCCTGTAGACCCTTCCCCCCCAGAAAAAAAAAAGATCTGACAGAAAAACTTTTTGAATATCATTCCATGACGGACTTGGATTGGAAGAATGAGCAAAGGCTTCCCTCTCATTTCAGACCCTAAGCCCCCAGGTAGTGGCTAGCCAAGTAGCTACCACTGAGCTAGGTTCCCAGCATTCCCCCATCCCCAATTTTTTTTGAGTCAGAGTTGGGCAGGATCTCCTGGGTTGCCCAGGCTGCGTCGGCATTCAGAGTAGTTGGAATGACAGGCTTGCGCCAGTACACCCTGCTTCCCTCCATCTTGACAGGCGGTCTTCCAGAGTTTGCAGGTCAAGAAGCCAAGTGCTGATTGTAGGGGGGAAGTGAACCCTATTGGTCTTTGAGCTCTGACATCTTTATTTCTTTTCCCCACATCTTTAAACACTATTGGTGCTGAGGAGAGGAAAAGATATTTTCATTGGGCAGAGCTCAGGAGGGTGTGCTCCCCGTTGCCTTTCTGCTTTTTGTTGTGCAGAAAGCCACCTTTTAAAAGAATCCCTTATGCTTTCACTGTTTGATTTAAAACAACAACAACAACAACAACAACAACAAAAAACAACCTTTTCATCTTTACTATAGATATTACAGCTGGCGATATTTTTGCCTTAGCAGCTATCAAATAAAGATTCGTCTTTTCCAAATTCACTGCTTAGTGTTGATTTCTAGACGTTTTCCCCAACCCCGAAAGGTTTGAAGTCTAATTTTCTTCATTGTGGCTATAGTTCCCCAATGCAGGGCATCAGATTCTTTCTGGAATAGCATCTTCAGACATCTGGGAAGCCTGTGTCGCTGCGTCCACGCATGCTTTCAGCTTCGCTTAACCCTTGGAGCCATTTTTCAGCTGCAGGGCGGCGGCGGCGACGGCGGCGGCGGCGGCGGCAGAGCGGAGCGGAGCGGCGCGGCCCGGGGACAGCGCGTCTCTCCGCTCCCTCCCCGAAGCCGACGCTCAGGCTGAAAATGGGCTGGAAGCGCATAGATTTGTGGTAACTTGCTACATAGTACCTGAAAGGTAATACACAGCTAGTTTTGTTATTAAAGTGGCAAAGTTTGGGATTAAAGTTGAGGAAGTAGCTGATTCTAAAATGGGTTGCTGCAGGCTAAAGGTAGCAAAACCAGAAATCAGTGTGAAAGGAAGGAAACACTAAATAAAGCACCTCCTGCAGGGCCGGGGTAGAGCCTTCTTCATGAACCTCTTCCAGCCTCAGGTGACTGTTCTTACCCCCAATACTTAGAAACTAATGTATTTTATTACCTAAGTAATATTTTTTCCGCATTGTTCTCCAGGGGCTTTTTGCGCCTACCTAACTAGGCTTCAAGTTCATTGAGGAGAAAGATCTTGTCTTGTTCATTTTATGTGCTCCACACTTAGCACATTGAAATTCTAGTAAATGTTATGTGATTGGCTTGTCTGATGAATTAAAGTCCTTCTAACTAAACCTTCCCAGTGCTGATCCTGAAAGTACTTGGAATGAGTTCGTGAAGGGTTTTTCTTTTTTTGAGTCACTGTGAGACCCACCAACTGGTTTCCCATAGCAACTTTGTATCAAAATGGTCTGTGACTATTCTCTCAGGAAAAGGAAACTTTAGGCTACAAACATCTGTGAGCCAAACTGCCCACCCAGGAGCGTGAGCTGCCCTTTATCAAGAAGAGTTTTTACCTAATTAGCGCCCACTAATCAGTAAGGCCTAACCACCTGCCAGTGGATCTGAAACATCTGCTTTAAAAAGTTGCAAAGGTGGGGCCGGAGAAATGGCTCAGTGGAATAAGCGCTTCGCAGCAAGTACCTGAGTTCAATCCCCGGTTCTGCAAAAAAAAAAAGTTGCAAAGGTGAGTTTGTCCCACATGTGGGACAGTTGAGTGTGTGTATATGTGTGTGTGGGGGGTGTTAAATCATAAGAGGTTGGTGCCCAATTTCCAAAAAAGTTTGTCTAGTGACCTTCGTTTTCTTCACTGCCTGATGTGACTCTTGATTATAGGATGGAAGAAATTAGCAATATTATGAATTTTTCTCTGTGCTCATACCCGTAATTTAGTTTGTTGTCTGTATCCAAGACATTGAGCAGAACTTGAGGATTTAGGTTTTTAAAATAAATGAAGTCAGGGGGCTAGATGGTAGAAACTTTTTTTTTTTTTTTTTTTGTGGAACTGAGGATTGAGCTCAGGCCCTTGAGCTTGCCAGGCAAGCGTTTATCCTACTGAGCTATCTCCTCAGCCCCATGGTAGAAACTTTTTGAAGAAATTCATTGACTTTTTTAGATATAGGACCTTTTGAAATAAAGTCTATGAGAGATCCAACTTGTAGCCTTTAACTGTAGTAATTTTTTGCTGATGTGGCAAGCTACCTTAAACCCATTATGGAACCAGAAATGAGACATAAATTAATAAGAATGGACAAGATGTTTCATAATATTCAAATCCAGTCAATACTGGATTTGAAACTGCAGGAGGATTATAAGATCTGATTTGTCAAAGGAAGGTAATTTGTGACACAATCTAGACTTGTGGTTTAGGCAGAAGGCAAGTGATTTCATCTAGCATTGTAGATGCCTTGACCTCAATGGAATCGCTGATTGTTATGATCTGCAGAGCTATTTGGTGGGAAGGACGTCACATCTCAGAGGAAAGTCACCAATTTTGAAGAAAATGAATAGCATGTGTCTGAGTAACTGCTCAATTACTGTGCAAATAACTTTTTTATGTGACAGAGAAAAAATAAATGATGAAACAGCTTTGAAAAAGGTTAGTGGGACAATTATAATAACTGCTACATTGCACAGGTTAGTAGGACAGTTACAATAGTTGATACATTGTGTATTGTGAACTTTCTTGAATAGAAAAAGCGATTTTGAAATTTTAGGGTATATGGTTCAGATCGGAGGGAACTATGTTCATTTAACCCGTGAAAGTATCAGTCTTTTTTAATGAAGTGCTTAAATCAATGGATGGAGTCAGAATGAAGAGGTCTTCAAATTGCAACCCTTTCCCCCTCTCCCTCCTTGTTTCAACAGTTCCGCCTTTGAAATGCAATCATTTTAATTTACACCTTCAGAATTGAGCCATCCGCCCGTGTAACTATCCATTGTACGAATAAAGTTGATTGAACTTTTTTAAACGCCGCCGATGGTATTTTGGTTAACATTGACATGGTTGACTAGGTAACAAAGCGGTTACACTTTAACACTGGCAAAAATGTACCCAATAAATGTTTGTTAGTTTGTTTGACCCTTCCGTCCAACTTCAAAAACTTGGACACTGCTGCCCCATAGAGTGTCCTAAACGGGAGTCAGGTTGACAGGGTGTCGCATGCGCCCTCCACACAATCTTGTTTGTCGCAATGGGTCCCGCGCGGAAGGTTACCTACGAAGTAGAGAAGTTGATTACAGTCATTTTTGTAGGTAGATAACCGTGCTTCCTCCGCGAGGGCACTTGATTGTAACAGAAAGTAGTTCCGGCCCGTGTTGTTTCGGCCGTGGAACCATAGCCGCCATTTCAAGACTGTGAGTGAGAGGTTGATAGCCAACCAGAGTTCTTAGGGTTCGAGGCTTGTAACTACTGCCGCCGCTTAAACCTTCCAAAATACTAATAAGGCTGTAGCTCTTTTTTCTACTACCTCCAGATACATTATTGCCAGTAGTGGCGGCAGTGGAATCAATTATCCTCTTTTTGCTCTCCCTCAAGAAGCTCCAGATGGCGTCTTCCGTGGGCAACGTGGCCGACAGCACAGGTACCAGTGTCCAGTTCTACTTTAGCAGACGCCCCTTAGGGGTCTGGCGCCGTCCTGTACCTCTCATCACTCCTTCCCTTCTCTCTAACCATCCCCGTTACATCGTGGTCTACTGGCATCTGGTCGAGTTTTCGCTGTCGTCTATTATTCAAGTATTTCCAGTTTCTTGCTTGCTTGTTGCTTCTTTAGTTTTTTTTTTTTTATCCCATAAATATTTTAGCCTTTTACTTTTGGAACGCTCCTGCCACACGTGCGCGCTTAGAATATCTTGGAATGGAATTGGAATCCCTGTCCTTTTAGTCTCCTTGCAACCCTTTTCTTCCCGAATTCCACTCTTCAGCCTCTCCTTACCCCTCCAGTCCCGTTCAAGCCCTGTCCCCCTAGCCACATTGGGTCCTTTGCTGCCAAGCCTAGGGCGAGGGTGCCATTTCGATGTATTCATATTCTTTCTTAACGTCACGCAAGACTAGCAGACGCTCGTCTATTGCTACAAGTAAGCTTGAGAGGAGACAGAAGCACCTCCGGGGGAGCTTTCTTTCGATCGAGTGGTTCTAATTTAGATGGGAATTTTCCAGGGGTTCCCTTTGCGGTCGCCAAATTCCACCCGCTGCCCCCACGCTGCGTTCCCCACCCAGTGGTCTCGCCTGCCCACCCGCCCGCCCGCCCGCCCGCCCGCGGAGAGCCACACCCTTCCCTTTGCAAGGTTGCCAGCCTTTTGGCCCATTTCCTATCCTTGGGGGGGAACCACCCCGCTGCAATCGCTTCCCCTTTGACCACCTTGCCCTCCCGATTCTTGCTTTGTGTTACTTTCTCTTGTATTCCTCCGCCGCCGCCGCCGCCGCCGCCGCCTCTGGGTCTTCCATCCCCATTCTTCAGCCGAGGGTCTCTTTATCCATAGGGTGTGTATTTTATTTTTTTTCTTTTTAAGTTTCCATCCTTGCTTGAAGAGTTTGTAAAGCAACTGGAGTGTGGCTGCACAAGTGCAAGGCGGTTGTCCTTTTCGATTATTCAGTCTTGGGCATTTGGTTCCCAAAATAAGAAAACCAAATTATAGGCGTGCCCTTTGGCTGCCTTTCCTTGGTGAGGCTATTCGGGGCGAGAGGGGTTAGGGAATTGGGCGGCGTTCTAAGGTTTCCCACGAGGTGATTGTTTTCGGGAGGTACGCTTTCGCAGTTCGATGTGTCAAAGATTTTACTTTTTTGATATTGCATAATAAGTAACAGGTGAATCTTCTATAAATGTCGGTAATTGTAGGGAGTGGGATTCATAATTATTCCGTTCTCTCCCCACTCGCCTACTGTCATTTGCAAAGACCGAAGAGTATATTAGATTATGAGCTAGCTTTTTCTTGTCTGCCTATAGTATTTTGAGGAAGTGGTCAGATGTTAAAATAGAAGATAAGCAGCTCTGAAAAGTGACAGTGTGTTACCTTAAGCTAGGAAGTTCTAGACACGTGTAAAATGTAATTTTCTAGTTTCCGTTAGAGATACAACCTTCCCCACCCTTGAAGGAGTCTTTCTGTTCTTCGTTGTGGTCAGCTGTGCCGTCAGCCAGGACATTTACTTCTGTTTCCTCAGTTTCCAGAATACTACTCAGCTCTAATGATGGGGAAGCTAGGCTCGGATTTGAGTCTTACACGGTGACCTTGGTAAAATTAATATGTCTGGTTTTCCATTCCAATCATCTAGTGAAAACATTGAGGTTGAGTTCCTAATAGTGTATCACTAGGTGTTTGCTGCTGAGGCAGGGACCCCCTCCCCCAGCTTGTTAGCCTTTAATCATACCCGTTCTGGATACTTATCTGAATTAAGCCATACACAGCAGTGTTTTTATTTGGTCATTCTTTTCTGCTTTAAGCAATATTTTATATTATAGACATTTCCCCTTTTTTTTAGCCTCCGCAGTTGTAGGTTACTGCGTGGTTGTTTTATAGAGTTGTTTGCAATCTCTTTAATCCTTTAGTCATTGCCAGAGCTCTTTGGAAAATACTAGTGTTAACCGGTGGATGGGTGGGATTTAGCTAATCTAGTCTGCTGGTGAGTTTGAGATAATAGAGGAGCAATATACTTTTTTTTGAGATAGAATCTGGCTTTGCACGTTCGGCTGGCTTTGAACTCAGTGTACAGCTCAGGCTGATTTAAGACTCATGGTGGGGCTGGTGAGATGGCTCAGTGGTCTAAAGCACCTACTTAGAACAAGCTTAGCAAAGCACAGGGACCGCGGTTCAATCCCCCAGCACCACATGCCAGCCAGCCCCGCCCCCTGGTGGGCTGAGCTGGCCACACACACACACACACACACACACACAAATAAATAAATTAAAAAAAAAGACTCATGGTGATACTCCTGTCTCAGCTGCCCCTGCTGGGATTACAAGGCATGCATCACCACTTCTGCCTAGGAACGATAATGCACTCTTTGGGTCTTTATTTAAAATATCTGATGACCCTGTTAAATATTTTGGCTCTTGACAAATGTTTTTTTTTAATGTTTTATATTACTTGCAATGTCTCATTTAATCTTTTCCTTTTTAATTTTTTTGGGGGGGGCGGAACTGGGGATTGAACTCAGATCCTTGTGCTTGCCAGGGAAGCACTTATCCTACTGAGCCATCTCCCCCGCTCTTGACAAATGAAGTGATTTTGTTTATCAGCTCTTTTAAAAATAGCACATTGATTTTTAGGGCTTTTTTTTCCTTAGACATGTCTTTAGTGGCCCCTTTAAAAAAACCTGTGAAATGCACAAATACATCAATATAAAGAGTTTAAAGCACATTTGGCATTCCCACCCACGTTTGGAGACATTGTTAGCATTACCCTAACCCCTACAAACCCAAGCTAAAATATGGGGCACAGTATTAAGTTTCCCAATAGGAGGATCCTTCAGGATTATTGTACATTGTTAATGCTTCATACCGCTTCATGAGGTTTACAGATGGTATGTTTCATATTTTGTTACAGTCTCATAGCTAATGTATAAGGAACAAAGTTTTTATGAATTTTTAGATGCTTTCCGTGAGTTAGTTTTTTTAAAAAGCAGAATGTATTTATTGGGGGAAAGAAAGCTTCTGTCTGAAAGGACAGAAGGGGATCCAAGTGGGTTGCCCCATGAGTTAAAGTTTATGTTTTCTTTCTCCCTGCCCCTCCAACCAGGGATTGAACTCAGGCCCTTACGCTTGCCAGGCAAGCGCTTATTCTACTGAGCCATCTCCCCAGCCCTGAGTTACAGTTTAAAGGTACAAAATATTTAAAATGTGATCTCACTTGGAAGTAAATATTCTTAAGTGGTTTGGAAAAGAAGATATTAATGGGTAAATTCTAAAGAGTCTAATTCTGCACCTGACATTAATTTGGGGCTATAAGAAGCAGAACACTCTAGTGCTTTACATAGTTTCAAGCATTTTCATCTTTAAGTTTAATATACCATATTTTTACATTTTTTGTTTGCATTTCTAACTTTTTGTTTTCCCCCCTCCTTCCCTCAAATGTTTTGATGACTCTCCAGAACCAACGAAACGTATGCTTTCCTTCCAAGGGTTAGCTGAGTTGGCACATCGAGAATATCAGGCAGGAGATTTTGAGGCAGCTGAGAGACACTGTATGCAACTCTGGAGACAAGAGCCAGACAATACTGGTGTGCTTTTATTACTTTCATCTATACACTTCCAGTGTCGAAGACTGGACAGGTAGGAGATGTGAGGGTATCTGCTTTTGGGTGCTGAAAATTAAATAATTTCAACTTGACGTTTTTGCAGTACCGGGTACTGGATTTCTACTGAGCTACCAATGCACATCTGCTCTTTTGCCCACTTGTGACATGTCCAGCTGCCAGTTTTTCTCCCTTTGCATGGTAGTGGTTATGTTATCAATATGACTAAGGACTTTTTCTAGATCTTGTTCCCACCTGGGTCTGCTGCTTTATTAACTCTATTCCAGTAATAAGTTAATTTTCATGTACAGTAGAGCATCAAGTCTATTTTATATTTATGTATTTATTTTAGTACAGGGACTACAGGCTTCCACTATGGGGACTCTACTGATCTTCCTGTTTTCAGCCTCCCATGCATTGGGATTACCATGCCCAGTCTCAGTGTACCCTGGGGGCGTGGCACCTGCTGGGGATAAAACCTGGGCCCCTGTGCCTATCTTAGCAGGCGCTTTAGTCCGCTGAGCTATTTGGCTGGACCTCCAGTCTCTTTTATAAGATCTGTCAGCTTGAGGGACTGAAATACTCAGAGATAATGGTGTGTATGAGGTACATATGTGGTTTAAGTTGAAAATGCCATCAGAAGTTATAACAAAGTGTTGCTTTTAGCTAATCAGCTGAATCAGTTAAAAGAGAAGAAATTGTATTTTGTAGCTTGCTTTTTTTTCTTTTATGGTACCAGGAATTAAATTCAGGTCCTCAAGCATTCTAGGCAGGCACTATACTGCTGAGCTACATCCCTTGCCCTGTCTTTTTTTTTTTTCTTTTTGTCTTTTTGAGATAGGGTCTCCTGTAGTTCAGGCTGGCCCTGAGCTCACTTTGTAGCCCAGGCTGGTCTCAACTTTGCATTATCCTTGCCTTAGCCTCCCCAGTGCTGGGATTACAGGCGTGTACCACCATGCACAATTCATCTTTTTTTTTTTTTAAATTGGGGCGTGAACCCAGAGCCTTGCACTGAGCGCCACCGGCCCCCCCCCCCTTGTTATTTTGAGACAGGCAGTTGATAAATTGCCCAGGTTGGGCTCAAATTTGGGATCATTCTGCCTCAGTCTCCCAGAGTGCTGGGATTACAGGTGCATACCACCACACCTGACTTCTTTCTGGAATATTGAGACATTTAAAGAGGTATATCACTAAATCTTAACAAATGAGAAATGAAATTCATGCACATAGTATTTTCTTTTTCTTTTTTTTTTTTTAATATTTATTTATTTATTTATTTATTTAGTGTGTGGCCAGCTCAGCCCACCAGGGGGCAGGGCTGGCTGGCATGTGGTGCTGGGGGATTGAACCGAGGTCCCTGTGCTTTGCTTGAGCTTAGCTTGTTCTAAGTAGGTGCTTTAGACCACTGAGCCATCTCACCAGCCCCGCACATAGTATTTTCATTCTTGATCTTTTTTATGTATTTGTACAGGGTCTCACTGTGCAGCTTGGACTCATAGTGATCCTCCTGTTTTCAGCCTCCCTAGCATTGGGATTATAGGCGTGCTGGGATTCTAGGTGTGCACCCCCATGCCCACACTTGGGGTCGGGGTGACATGCAATTTGGCATGTAGTACTGGAGCTCCAACCCCGTCCCTGCACTTGTATAAGCAGGCACTTAGTCTGCTGAGGTACCTCACTGGCCCTTCCATTTTTGATGATAGTAATTTGCAGTGTGTCACCCTCAAGAGATCCTATTTCAAAAAGACAAAAAAATTGTACAGTGTGGCAATTTGGTACTAAGACTAGTAATAACTATTTCAGGAGGGGGGAAAAAAAACTTTCCAATTTGAAATCTGGCATATCTTCACTTGTGAAAAACTTTGATTTATAAAACTTTTCCTGCTAGTTAAAAGGTAATATGCTGTAACATTATGAATAGCACAGGCTCTTCAGAAACTGTTGCAGTTGCATGTGGGCCATGCCTTCTCTTTGATAGCATGCATACCCATGTATCAACGCTTTGAACTTTTTCAGATCTGCTCACTTTAGTACCCTGGCAATTAAACAGAATCCCCTTCTGGCAGAAGCCTATTCGAATTTGGGGAATGTGTACAAGGAAAGAGGGCAGTTGCAGGAAGCCATTGAACATTACCGACATGCATTACGTCTCAAACCTGACTTCATCGATGGTTATATTAACCTGGCAGCTGCATTGGTGGCAGCTGGTGACATGGAAGGAGCAGTACAAGCTTACGTCTCTGCTCTTCAGTACAATCCTGTAAGTAAAATTTTAATGGTTATTTTCTTTTCACAGAAACCCCTAAAGAAACATAGTTTGGTACTTCACTTAGCAGTTATCGGTTATCATGCACTGGCTGAAGCTCATTGGCTGTGGTACTGCCACTGTACAAAGCTGGTACTTTACTGAAAAAGATTTTTGTATGGAATAAAGTCAAGAGTTCAGAAATGTTTATGTACTTAAAATGGTGAAATTGATTTGACCTAGTCTGCATTATGCCAAAAAAAAATGTTTTAAACTGGGTTTCATGGTATATGCTTGTAATCCCAGCACTTGGGGGTCTGAGGCAGAAGGATTATGGATTTGAGGCCAGTCTGGGCCATGTAATGAGACCCTGTCTCAGTAAACTAAGTGTGAGAGAGTTATGTTAAAAAGCATCAAGAACCTCCTGTTGATTGTTTGTTTGTTTTTTTTAAATACCTGTAAGGTATTTAAAAGACACCTGATATTGTTTCTTGGGATGGGTTGTCACTGTCGCTGTCGCTGTCGCTGTGTCTGTTGCTGTGTCTGTGTCTGTGTCTGTGTCTGTGTCTGTGTCTGTGTCTGTGACTGTCTGTCTCTCTTCTGTGCAGGGACTTACTGTGCAGCTTGAAGTCTGATCCTTCTGCTTTCAGCCTCCCTAGCACTAGGATTACAGGTGTGCCCCACCACTCCTGACTTAGTTGCTGGCTCAGTGGCCCTGGGGGCGGGCCAGTGCCCATGCGACATGTGGTTCTAAAGATCGAACTCTGGTCCCTACACTTGCCTAAGCAGGCACTTAGTCTGCTGAGCTATCTTGCCCACCCTTCTTTTTTTTTTTTTTTTTTGCGGAACTGGGGATTGAACTCAGGCTCTTGCGCTTGCCAGGGAAGCCCTTATTTTACTAAGCCATCTCCCTACCCCTGGGGTTCGTTCGTTCTTTTTTTTTTTTTTTTTTTTTTGCGGAACTGGGGATTGAACTCAGGCCCTTGCGCTTGCCACTGAGCCATCTCCCCGGCCCCTCTTTCTTGATAGTTGTTCGCAAGAGATAATTGATTTTTCTTTTTTAAACAATTTTTATTTTTTAATAATTGATTTTTCAAGGAATGATATATTTTATAAGTGTGATACAGAAGATATGCCAATATGTGGATTAGTGACATAAAAATTAGATTATAAAACTTGTTCCTGAACATCCATTCTATTCTCTCTCTCTCTCTCTTTTTTTTTTTCCTTCCAGTAGTGAGGTTTGAATCCAGTGTCTTTGTACTGAGCTGCCTTTTAATTTTTTTTTTTGTGGAACCGGGAATTGAACTCAGGGCCTTGTGCTTGCCAGGCAAGCACTTATTCTACTGAGCCATCTCCCTGGCCCCTGCCTTTTAGTTTTTGAAACAATACCTAAATCGCTCAGGCTGGACTTGAATTTATTATCCTTCTTTCTTACCCTGACAGTAGTATTGGGATTACAGGTGCCACCACTTGTAATACTACTACCTTCCACTAAAGTTTTATTGTTTGCTTTTTGTTTTTTGGGGTCAGTTTCTCACTGTAGTTCAGGTTGGCCTTGAATACACTATGTAGCCTAGGCTGGCCTCAAAATTTATAGTGATCTTCCTGCCTCAGCTTCCCAGGTGTTGGGATTACAGTTGTGTGCTACCATGTCCATCTTAAAATATCTATTTTTAAATCCATTTATTGTCTTTTGAATAGACAAAATAATTTCTTACATGTTCTTTGATAGATTACCTCTGTATATGTATAAAATTTTGATTTTGTAATTTTTAATGAAGTACCTCAAGTTACAACAGAAAGTGTTAGTCTTGTATGTATTATGGCTAGGGCTTGGACCTCAACTCTTGATGTTCACCTGTGCCCCCAGTTGTCACAGTACAGTAAGTTCTTTCCCTTTATATTATTTATTTGGTACTAGAAATTGAACTCAGGACTCTGTGCTTGCCAGGCAGGGGCTGTGCCACTGAGCTTATTTCCCCACCCCTTTCTCTTTTTAACCAAGGTTGGTTCTACCCTTGAGTTGTTGCTTGAGTGTAAGTGCATTTACTCTCTCACACAACTGTAGTCTTGACCAGTTTTTTACTCTGATCACTTTGGCTCCGGTTTTTATTTGCATATGTGTGCAGTAGAGCAGTCATTGCTATTGACAGTATACCAGACCATAAGCATATCTTGAGATGCAAAAAGTAAGGTGGGTGACAGAACCATACTATTTAATATCAAATCTGTTTACAGGAAGCTTATTATGCCCCTACCAAGGAAGCAAGGTAGTGCTAAAATCATGGGATTGTTATTATTTTTTTGTCCTTTTGAGACAAGGTCTCACTATGCAGTTCAGGCTGGCCTTGAGCTCATTAGTAGCCTAGGGTGGTCTCAAACTAGCAATGTTCCTCCTGCCTCAGCCTTCCCCACCTGAGCCTTCGAGTGCTGGGATTACAGGCTTGTGCCACCAGCCTGGCTATGGGATTATATCTTGATGGCATTGAACAATTATGTGTTCCCATTATGGATCTATGTCTGGTAGAAGTTGCTGCTTTAGTTCCCTGTTCTTATCACTGTGAATGAAAATGAGATTGTATAAACACCTTTGATTTCACCTAAGTATATCATGGTGATGATGTTTCAGTTTATATGAGGATATCTAGTCTTTTTTTTTTTTAAGGATATCTAGTCTTAACTGGGTTTAAATTTAACTGTCACATGCCCAATGTCCTTTTTTTTTATTTTTTTTTTTTAATTTTTTTTTCTTAATTTTTATTTATTTATTTGTGTGTGTGTGTGTGTGTGTGTGTGGCCAGCTCAGCCCACCAGGGGGCGGGCTGGCTGGCATGTGGTGGCTGGGGGATTGAACCATGGTCCCTGTGCTTTGCTAAGTTTGTTCTAAGTAGGTGCTTTAGACCACTGAGCCATCTCGTCAGCCCCCCAATGTCCTTCTATTACATTGTATTTTTTTCTTTTTTGAGACAGGGTCTCACTGTGTTGTTCAGACTGGCTTTGAACTTGTAGGCAGCTGAGCTATCTAGCCAGCCCTCTTATTCACATCATTTTTTGAACCCATGATGTATTGTTTTTTTGAAAGAGGATATTGTCGTGTAATTCAGGCTGGCCTTGGACTCATTATGTATCCTAGGCTGGCCTTGAAGTTGCAGCAGTCCTCCTACCTTAGCCTCCCAAGTGGTGGGATTACAGGCATGTACCACCACACCCAGCAACCTATGGGTTGTTGAAGCATTGCTTCTGCTTTGATGGTGGATGCACAGTGCTGAGAGTTAATTGGCATGCACCGTGTGTTATTGTCATGTTATTTATTGTTGGTGTGAGCCTCACTTAATACAACCGAATCATAGAAACTCTTCTCTGTTCTGCTTTTTGTTAAAGTTGTTTTGCAAATGTTGCGTTTAGGTATTTGAGTGCTTATTATGTACAAATGCTTGGCTAGAAACTGGGGAGATGTGGTATAGAGGAAAAAAGTTGCAGTCCTGAGATGGTTCTGACCCATAAGAAAAAGATGTAAGCTCTTTGGATGATTATTGTTGGAGAGTATTAATCAGAAGATGTCCTCAAGTGGGTGCTTATAACCTAAGCATTCTGTAGGAAGGTAAATAGCAAGTAGACTTTCTTGGCTGAAGTGGTGAGTCAAGTAGTAACAAGAAGTGAGTATAGTAGAGCAGAGTCAATTGGAAGATTTCAAAAGAATAGAGAGGCTGAGGAGTTTTAATTTAATTTGAGAGGCAATTGAGACTACTGTAGGTTTTTATCGACCTGATTTTACCTCGTGTGTGTGTATATATAGAGATGTTTGAGGGGGCAAGGGTTGGGCCTCTGGGAGGAAAGTCAGGAAGCAGTTGCTATCTTCAGTGATAGTTATACAGGGACACCTTAGTTTTAATTCCTTACCTCTATTCAGACTATTTCACCTCGTTTAGAATGTCTTTCTCTTTTGTAAAACTCTTACTCATCCTGTCTCTGCTTGAATTTATCTCTTCAGCTCAGTTATTTCTCTCAAAATTCTTTACTGCTTTGTGAGTTTTAGGTTGTGTGTGTCTTGTTTTTTTCTGATTAGATTGCATTCCCCTTGATAAGAATTCAATTTCTTTTCCCCAGAGTTTTAAGCTTCTCCCCCCCCCCCCCAACCAGGGATTGAACCCAGGCTCTTGTGCTTGCCAGGGAAGCGCTTATTCTACTGAGCCATCTCCCCGGCCCTAAACTTATTGTTGAATTCAAATGTTTGTATAAAACCTGGGTTAGGTAGGAGTAGGCCAAGTCTTAGGAATGTGATTGTGTTTGATTTGACGGATGAAGGAAAATTTGAGATCTAAAGTTTTGAACTTTTGGGGAGAATGGTAGTACCTTTGAGTCTTTAGAAATTAGGGGTGTGTGTATCTGAATTTCCAGGTGAGAAATTTTGATTCCATTATTTAATGACATGTTTCACCTTTTTCTAATGCTGCCTTTTTGGTTTTCTTAGGGTAATCTTGAAAATACTTTTCCCGTACCTTTTTTTTTTTTTTTTTTTTTTGCAGTAGTGGGAATTGAACCCTGGTCCTTTATGCTGAGCTATACCCTCAGCCTTTTATTTTATTTTTTAAATTTTTTTATGTATTTTAGGACAGGGTCTACAGGGTCTTACTGTGTAGATCGGACTGTAGTGATCCTCCTGTTTACAGCCTCCCAAGTCCTGGGGTTACAGGCGTGCGCCACCATGCCCAGTCTCAATCTCCCTTGCAGCGCTCCCTGGGGGCAGGGACAGCATGGCAGGCCGAGGGATCAAACTCCCATGTCTGCCTAAGCAGGCACTTTAATCCGCTGAGCTATTTGGCCGGCCCCAGCCTTTTATTTTATTTTATTTTATTTTTGCCCGAATGCCTTCAGGGAAGGTTTGGCTGGCTTGAGTTGTGGGGATTGAACCACAGCAACCTGAGCCTGACTACTTTGTTGAAGCAGCCACTTAAAGAACTGAGCTAAGGGGCAGGCCCCCAGCTGCCTTTTATTTTAAATTTTGATTTTTGAGATTAGGTCTAGAATGCTCAGATAACCTGGCTCCTGTCTCAGTTCCCAGGGTGCTGGGATTACAGGTGTTATATCACATTTGGAAAAGATATTTTTGTTTTTCAAGGACATTGTATTAACTTGATTTAACATGCTGTAATGGATCCAGATGATAGAACTAAATATAGCTAGATACACTGTCAGGACTTAGAAGATATCCATCCAAAAGTTTCTAGAAATTGGAGGGTAAAATTGTATAACAGTTGGCTAAAATGTATAGCCATTACAATCTCTGGTATTATTGGTAGACTTTAATTTTTTTTTTTTTTTTGCGAAACCGGGGATTGAACTCAGGCCCTTGAGCTTGCCAGGCAAGCGCGTATTCTACTGAGCCATCACCATGGCCCCTAGACTTTAATTATTATGGCCCCCAAAAGGCCAAAAGTTAAATCCAAAGATGTATAACCACAATTAACAAGTAGAAGGAGATTGCACAACATATTAGATTAGTCAAAGTCTACCAACACAGGGCTGGTGAGATGGCTCAGTGGTCTAAAGCACCTACTTAGAACAAGCTAAACTAAGCAAAACACAGGGACCACGGTTCAATCCCCCAGCACCACATGCCAGCCAGCCCTGCCCCCTGGTGGGCTGAGCTGGCCACACACACACAAAATAAATAAATAAATATTAAAAAAAAACAAAAACCAAAGTCTACCAACACAGAAAGGTAACTTACCCTTAAAATTTGGGGGTTGGGTTTAAAACTGTACAATATAGATAGCAAGGTAGAGAATTCAAAGTAGTTAGCAAGAGCATACATAAGGTTCAAAAGTACTTAGACTAATTAGAAGATTGATAAATCTATAATAAGATTGATTATACCTATGATATTTTGAACATTAGTTTTGGCCTGTGCTGTAGGTCACGGGAAACAACCGAACGCATTAGTCACTGCTTAAGCTTCTGTACTATGGCCAACCATGAGTGAGTGCATGAGTGATCTTTATCTTACTGGGGATTTAACTAGGCCTTTGCTCTGAGCTACATCCCAGCAGGGTCTTGCCAAATTGCCCAGGCTGTCTTGAGGAGTTTGTAATCTTGCTGAAGCCTCTCAGTATGCTGGGGTTACAGAGTGCTGCACCACTGTACTCAGCCACAGGTTTTTGTGGCTTCCTACACTTTATTGGCAGACTTACTGGATAATATGTGATTACAAAAACTGTTTATCAGTAACATTGATCCACTGATTATAGAGACCGTATCTGTTGTAGAGAAAATAATGTAAGTAATGACTCTTAGGCACAGTTGACAAAATTGTTCTTCATAGGACTTAATTCTTTCTCCCATGGAAGTTTGGAATCTTTTTTTTTTTTTTTTTTGAGGAACTGGGGATTGAACTCAGATCCTTGCATTTGCCAGTCAAGCGCTTATCCTACTGAGCCATCTCCCCGGCCCCTGGAAGTTTGGAATCTTAGGCATGCTCTATTTTGCCATTATCTCTGCTTGTTGACTGTCTGACAAAAGCAAGCTAAGGCAAATAAAAATTCAAACTCACTGTTGTGATGAGTGTCTCATACTGATGAACAGACTGGTGAGTCAGAGGACTAGCAACACAATTGAACTGCTAATAAAAAGCAGAGTCAACTGCTTTTCATTATTCACCCACTCGATTCCGGTGGTACTTAATACTAATGAGTAATCTAGTGGCAGGTGTCAGGATTGAAACTGTGCTTGGACTGTAATCCTTCTGCCTAACGGTGAGATGAAGTCAAGGTTTCTAAATGCCTGAGAGCCAAAGGTTAGGTTTGTTGATAGGTAATAGCTTGCTCAGTGCAGTATTGTTTTGCCCGCCATGGAAAATTTTTGGTCCTTGATGCAGGAGTGATTCATCATAACCTTGAATAAAACAGCTGAATAAATATTCATTCTTTTTTTTTTTTAAACAACATTTGGAGAGGAGAGAGGCTTTTGTAAGGTCCCATAGTCATTTATCTGAAGCTGATAGAGCCAAATGCATTTCAAAATTCAGAATTTTCAGTGTTGTAGAAAATAATGCTGTATATTATTAGACCTAGCAGGGACTGGCGCAGCATGTTAGAGTAAAACACATTTACCTTACCACAGCAAAAGAAATGAGTGTTCTATGCAAGAGAAATGAATTTTATAGATAGTGTCCTGTTATTCGGGTCAGGTTTAATCAAGTGAGTGAGGTTTTAGAACTTTTGGGATTCAGAATTGAAGATGAGGGAGGTGGTCATACACTCAAGTTTGTCAAGCAGAATTGATGGACAATAAAATGACAGGGGCTAGATGCACAGAAATGATTTCAAGGTACTTTTGATCAACAAAGCAGAGTATATAATTAATGTTAGTATTTCTGGCCTTCTAGGATTTGTACTGTGTTCGCAGTGACCTGGGGAACCTGCTCAAAGCCCTGGGTCGCTTGGAAGAAGCCAAGGTAGGTGTTTGATAGAGCACATTTAAAACATCAGTGTTATGAAAACTTGTACTTTTTGCCAAGTCTTCAACTCTTCATTGAGGTATCTTCACAAAACAGTCCTATGAAACTGAGGAAACTTTTGGCTTAACTTGCCTCAGACTAGAGCAGGACCAGGCTTTGGCATATATGTTCTAAATCTGGGGGTAAAAGTAAGATCCTGAACATTGTGGAGCTTTTCTGCCTAGCTAGGTCATCTTTATAACAGTGGGCTCCATCATGGTCTTATGTGGGAATAAGTAACATTCCTTCAAATCTGAGGCTTGCCTGCTGGTGACAAACAAGCAGAGCATCTCTGTTTTGGCTCTTGAGTCTTGACTCCTATATGATGCAGGTGCCATTGAAAATGCTGCTCTTCTAAGTCCTTTGTGGCTTGTAAGTGGAGAAGAATTTCATCCAAATGTTACCCTGTAATACTGGCATTTAAGTCTTATTTAACCTTCCTCCCTTCATCTTCCTCACCCTTTTTACAGTGGAAGAAAGGCTGTTAAAATGATTGCAAAGGAATAATTGGAACATCCTGTCCTTTGTCCCCACTCCCTCCCTAAGTTCCTTTTCTTCTTTTCCATTCCTATTGTCTACCTTCTTTTCTTCCTCACTTCCTTCTTTTATTCCTCCCCACCCCACTTCCTTAAAAAAAGTCAGAAAGACAAAGCTGGTTTGTTTGGGAAATGGACTGATCGAAAGAAAACTTGCCGAAGTGGAAAGGTGGCTTTTAGCATTCTGTGTTTCCAAATAAATAATTTGAGTACCAGGTTGGGATAATTAAAGCTTTTGGTATCATTTACAAATTATAAATTCAATTGTCTTGTTACAAGCCACCTTACGCAACCGCGCTGCAGGGGTGAGGAGTGGGGAGAGACCAGAATGCTTCTGAAACTCCCACCTGTTGCTCTGAGCCCCACGCGCATGCTAATGCGTGGAGTGTATGCGCAGCGTAGCTGTCTGTTTGCTTCGTTCAGGGAGGAAGACGGCTTTTCAGCACCATCTACTGTTCAAAGGCACTAGTTTGAAGTGCATCGCTCATAAATTCTGCTGATATTTTGGATTAACCTTATGTAGGTTTCCAGCTAATGAATTGTCGTTGATTTAAATTTTAGCTGATTAATCTAATTGGTAATTTATAGAACAAATATTTGATAAGCTCCTATTAATTGTTACCCCACCAAGCGGACAGCTAACATGAATTGCACTTCACCGCAGCTTTAGAGATCGGTTTAGGCTGAGACATTGCGCCTGCCTTAGGTTGCTGACTTCTTTATTTCAGAGCTCTGGAGAACACCTAGTTTGAAAAATGTTACTCTGGTTTTTGTGAGAACTTAGTAAACAAGAAAATACTCTTGAGTGAAATGCAACGTATTTCTTTTGTCATCAGTGCATTTGAAAATTCAAGCCAGCATATTCCTAATAGATGGAAGCAAAATTAAGTTATCTTTATAAAAACTGAAGAGCCTTTCTTCCAGCACCAATCCCTGCTGTATGCAATAGCCCTGATTAACCCTCTCCCGTGTGCATGTTTCCCATGTTACAGACTTGAGACTGTCCTCATTCCCATATGTAATAGACATCCAAAGAATTTCAATTGCTTTGTTGAACTTTTACTAATGATCTTGTTTTTATTTTCTCTCTTGTTTTTGGTTTTTCACCATTGATATTGTATTTAGAAGGTTTCAGGTGGGTGAAACCTCCTATTCCATGCGTAAGGTGCCTCGCTGAAGGGAGCTCGAGGCCTGGATCTAGGGCAGACACACAACCTCCTCCTCCTCTTCCAGCAAGGAACGCACCGAAAAGTCACATGATGAGAAATATGGTAACGGGTTTGTAACTGCCACAGCAAAACAATTTGCCTCCATGCCTGAATCTTCTGTCTTGTGGCTTCAGAAACAGCTTAAAATAATTTTATTTACAAGCAAGTTATGTAAGAGAATGTTTTATACTATAGCCACAATTCTGTCAAAAATAAGTAAAAGTTAATTATTAAAATTATTAGAGATAATTTACTAGTAAAAGCTTCTAACTCTTCTTGTTGTTCATTTTTTTTCCTTTTTTCTTCTTTGTTTGGATTGCAGCATTCTGCTCTTCTGATGATGCGCTGTGACCCTGCAGTAGCGCAAAGGCTGCGCAGCGTTAATGCGCATTGCGTGCGAATGAGCCCCTGTGAACGGTTGACTAGATGAGTAATCTGATTGACTGGCTCCCTCAGTCCTATGTGTAGCCTTTTTGGATAAAATTGGGTTTTAACATACCTCGAGTCCAACTAATCTCATTAAACAAATATTCTCTATGGGCCTGTCTAGTAGATTAATGGATCTGGTTGGCCGTTTGCTGCATCTAGGGGTGTTCTATGTAGCGCAGCAGTTCGCAGCGATTGCGCAGTGCGATGCTGTTAGGTGGCGCGTGCGATGTTTGCGCTCGCATTACAGGGACCTCAACCTAGGTGCAGTCCTTTCATGTGAGGTTTCAGCTTCAGTTCTCCTTAGAAGATAGGGGCAATGTGGATTTGTAACTTAAAGCCTAGCTTCATGATGTCTGATTTGACAAACTTTTTTTTTTTTTTTGATTCAATAGCGTAATGTTAGTGAAGAACATTATTGCCTAGGGCAGCATTTTTGAAAACGTGTTTTATAGAATTCTGATAAAATGCTCAATGAGAGGAGAGTTCCATGGTTAAGTTCAGGGAACTTTTCATACTACTAAAGGCTTAGGGAACACCTGTTTTCCTAATTTATTTCATCATGAAGTCCCTTTTTTTTTCTAGTTCTGGCTCTTAACACTTCATACACTTCGTTTTTTTTTTTTTTTTTTTTTTTTGGCGGAACTGGGGATTGAACTCAGACCCTTGCTCTTGCCCGGGAAGCGCTTATTCTGCTGAGCCATCTCCCCGGCCCCCCTTTTTGTACACTTTGGGAAACTAGTATGCTTTGAAATACTTGGTCTTAAGAGATATTCTCTGGATAGCACTTGAAAACATAACCAGAGTCCTTAGCTATTTGAGTGAGAGAAGTCCAGCATTAGAGTCTTATAGTAACTGGCGTCCCATATAAGTGCCAGTGTAAGGATTGGTAATTGATTGGCAGAACTGAACATGCTGGTTTGCACTTGGGTTCTGGTGGCGCAGGCGCAGGAGCAGCCAGCTGTGGCAGCGCATTAGTTTTGGCGCAAGCGAGCCTATGCTGCAGGGTCACTTTTGGCTGGTCAGAGAAGGAATAATGATATCACCTTCTTCCCCCTCCCCCAATCTTTTTTTTTCCCCCTTTACAAAATTTCCCCTTTCCCTTTACCTCCTTCCCCTCCCATCTTCTTTCATTAACCCCTCCTAAGGCATGTTATTTGAAAGCAATTGAGACGCAACCCAACTTTGCAGTAGCTTGGAGTAATCTCGGCTGTGTTTTCAATGCACAAGGGGAGATTTGGCTTGCAATTCATCACTTTGAAAAGGTTAGTTTTTATATCAATGGTTGGTATTTATGAAGTGTTTATATAAGCAGAATGTTCTTACTGCAACTAAATAATAGACATACTTAATCAGCCACATATTTTCTTTGTTTTTCTGATAGTATTGCAGTGTTTGCTGAGTGGTGCATGGTGTGGCCATTTCGTTTTGGCATTGACAATGAACTTTAGTATTGTTTTTGTCTATACTTTTAGTATTTAAAAGTGATTTTTGTGTGTGTATGTGTGCGTGTGTGCGCGTGTGCGTGCTGAGGATTGAACCTAGGGCCTTTTACATCCTAGGCAAGTGCTCTACCACTGAGCTATATCCCCAGCCTGGGAGCAACTCAAATTTGAAAACTGGCTAAAAAGAAGATATATTTTGAGGGAAACCTCCATACTACTGTCCAAAAAGACTGTATTTACTAATGTACATTCCCTCAGAGTGTAAGCATTTCTTTTTTCTACATTCTCATCATTTCTTATCACTCATCATTTTAATAATTGCCATTTGAACAGGTGTGAGGTGATATTGTAATTTGCATTTCCTTATTAGAGAGGTTTAACATTTTCACGTGACCAGTCTTATTTTTTTCTTTTTGAATGCTGCTGGAGATTGAACCCAAGGCCCTCACACTGAAATATATTCCCAGTCTGTTTTTTATTTTTTATTTTGAGGCAGAGTTTTGCTACATTGTCCAGGCTGGACTTGAATCAGTGATCCTCCTGCCTCAGCCTCCCAGAGTGCTTGGATTACAAATATGTACCATCACACCTGGTTTATTTTTGCTTGTTTTTGTTGCTCGTGCTTTATGCTGTATGAAATAAGCCAAGCACAGAATACTGTATGGTTGTACTTAACGTTTGGAATCTAAAATGTTTGTGTAATAGAAATAGTAGAAAGATAGAAAGAGAAATTGGTGGAGAAAAGGGATATGAGAAAAGGAAAATGTTGATCAGATGATTCAAAGATTCATTTAAACTAAAGGAATAAATTAGTCTATTGCACTGCATGCTAACCACAGTTAACAGTATGTATATTTCAAGATTGCCTCAGCTTCCTTGCTCTGACTGTAATTCCAGCTGCTTGGGAACCTGAGAGAGGCAGATCACAAGTTCAAAGCCATCCAGGGCAGCCTAGTAAAACCTCATCTCAAAAAAATATAGTAGTGCTGGGCCGGGAGATGGTAGCGCATGCTTATAGTCCTAGTACACAGGAAGCTGAGGCAGGAGGATCATAGGGAGTTTGAGGCTAGCCTAGGTCACATAGTGAGTTGAAGGCCAGCCTGCACTACATAGCAAAACCCCATCTCAAAAACAAACAAAACAAAACAAAACAAAACAAAAAATGAGTGGCAAAGCAGTGGCTGTGGGTTTAGTCTCTAGTACTGCAAGTAGATAAATATATAAATGCATAAATATTTTTTTTTTAAATTAGCATTTATTAATATTTTTAATCAAGTAGCACTATTTGAGGGGGCACCAGGAATCAAACTCAAGACCTCTCATTTGCCAAGCAGGATGCATAAATATTTTTAAAATATTCAAAGAAACTGGCTGTAGCATATGCTTGTAGTCCCAGTACACAGGAGGTGGAGGCATTTGTCTGAGGCCAGTTTGCTGAAGATAGAGCCTGTTTCAAAACAGAAGAAAAACCTTTAAGTAATTTTTAAGCATTCTTGCTTTAAAAATGAGGTGGTATTGGGTTGGGGGTATAGCTCAGAAGCATAGGCACTTGCCTGGCAAGCATAAGGTCCTGAGTTCAATCCCCAGTACTGCAAAAAAAAAAAAAAAAAAAAAGAGTGGGGTGGGGTGGTGGTGAGTTGATGGACATGTTAATTGGTCGAATCTTTTACAGTGGATATGTAGATCAGTGTATCATTGTACCCGATAAATATGTCCATAAAGGTAGTCAGTAGCCAAGTATGATACCTCTATAATCCTAGTGCTCAGGAGGCTGAAGCAGGAGGATTGTTGTGGGTTCAGGGTAGCTTTTTCTGCAAGGTCAGCCTGGAATACAAAGTAAGTTTCTGTCTCAGAAAAAGAAAAAAATAGATATATTTACAATTACCTATAACTTTAATCCTATTTAGCAATTAAACATTTAAAATAGTTTTAAAAGAATAAGCACTTGTGCTTTCTTTTCATGTATAAAGTAGACCTCTGTGCCACCCAACAGTTGATGGGAGAAGTTTCTTCTTTTCTGTGTTGGTGTAGTGGTGCACGCCTGTAATCTGAGGCAGAAGGATCACCACAAGTTCAAGGTCAGCCTGGGCTATCTGAACTACCTACTGAGACACTGTTGAAAAGAATTTTTTTTTTTTTTTGCGGAACCAGGGATTGAATTTAGGTCCTTGCGCTTGCCAGGCAAGCACTTATTCTACTGAGCTATCTCTCTGGCCCTAAAAGAAAACCCTAAAAGAAAATATTAAAATCTAGATAATATGAAGTCTTTTTTTTTTTTTTTTCAGAACTGGGGATTGAACTCAGGCCCTTGTGCTTGCCAGGGAAGCACTTATTCCACTGAGCCATCTCCCCGGCCCTAAATCTAGCTAATAAAGGAATGATGTGTCACTGTTAGTAGATTGAGGCATTTAGCATGGGCAAAAAGATGCAGTCAGGCTTTGTATATTTTCTCATAGAACTAAATTTCATCAGTAAAGTAGTCTTATACTAAACAGGAAATCTGGGAGTGTATAGCTCAGTAGAGTGCTGGACTAGATAGGCCCTAGGTTCATTCCATCTGTAGCAGTGCAAAAAATAAGAGCCCAAGGCTGATTTAAGTTTCTACTTTATAGGAAATAGATGGAACAGGGAAAAGAGATCATAAGAATGTAGTTAGCAAAATCCAAATTACTATATGAACTATCTAGGACAATAATCTGGTTTCTTCAACTAATTACAGGAATAAAAATTGAGGCTTACGTTAATTTTAAAGGTTCAAAAGAAACTCAGAAAAATGCACTCACAAATTTTCTGAATCTTGTATGGATTCTGACTAACTTGATCAGAAATACCAGTGAAGGAATATTTGATGTTAAAAAACCATTTGTCAGGGCCGGGGAGATAGCTAAGTGGAATAAGTGCAGGGTCCTGAGTTCAATTCCTGGTACTGCCAAAAAAAAAAAAAAATCACTTGTCATTTTTATTTTTTATTTTTATCTTTTTGCTTGATGAATAAGTTTATTGGTCTTTATCTCAAAAATCTTCATAGAAATTTGGTTTAACTCTCAGCAGCCTGCTCTTGAGCTCTGAGGAAGCTTGCCTTCTTTTGAGCTACCCAATCTTCTGGGCAAGGGACATTTTGGGACGGTTCCACCTCTGCTTTTTAATTTCTCTCTTCAGCTTATAGACTGGATTCTCTCGTATAGCAGCATGAGCTTTCTTATACATCTCCTCCGTCATGTCTGGAGTTACATTGTTGTTTATATACTGAGAGACGTGTTTCTTGTAAGCATCTTCATCTTCTTCCATTAGCTAACGCATATAGTCTGCGACATTCTGACCCATGATGTGCTTCCAGTGTACTTCTGCATTGAACTCCTTGCTTGCAGAATCATAACCAGGGAATCGTTTGGTACTGTGAGGGATAGACAAGCCTCCATCCACAGCACCCTTTAGGGCTCCAAAAACTTTATTGCCAGTTGTAGTTCTGGTGAGGCCTGCATCCAGATAGCAGGTGAAGGCACCAGGTTTGCCATCAATGCTGTCCACATTGTACTCATCTCCAGTCACCTCCACCTGGCCTTCATAGATCTTATCCATGCCAAACCTATTGAGAAGCCTGCGGGCCAGCAGCAGGCCAGCACAATATGCTGCAGCATAATTTGTTAGGCCAACTTTCACACCATACTTTGGTAGTTCATGTGCATATGCCACACAGACTATCATATCCCCTTCAATACAGGCATAAGCAATCTGACAAATGATATCTCTGTTACACGAACTATCATCCTGTATTTAGGTGTGTTATACTTATTTTTGTCCTGCATTACCAAGTGTTTCCTAGCATAGTAATCAGTTTTGCCCTCTCATTGTCTTCTAAACTTCACT